TCCTGGGATAAGTTATTAAAAATAGTACCGAGATAACTTATACCTTACCTGCAATAGGGTTAAATAGTAATCACATAATAAGTTATCTCATGATACAATAGTAAAATTGAGAATCCAAGAATTAATACTCCAAGAATTAATACAACATACTACCAAACAGTAAATAAGAAATAATACTAGAATAACTAATCGCAACATAACTAATCTCATCATAACTTGTCTTCAAACCAAACGACCCCTACGAGTTCAGCCTTTAATATTGTTATCACTGAACTCGTTATATTTTAAAATTTATGAGTTCATATCTGCTACTCTTTGTAATTTTAGTAGATTTTTACATATAAATTTATGTCTGCGACGAAAATTATGGGTTCAATTGAACTCGGTGTCAAAAGACTAGATGCACCTCTGCCCTCCGATACAGTACCTTCAAGGATTTCGACCATCAAATTGACGAGCGCAAAACACACACTTAAATTCTACTCATTAATTAAATATAGTATAGTATAATATCGTATCCACAAGGATTGAATTTAAACAATGTTCTTGCAGTTTCTATGTTGATTGCTATTCAAGGTGATCAACAATTTAGATTTCTATGATTTCTAACTAAAATTAACTAAGAGTCTAGAGCTATTGACTAATGACAATTGAAACAAATATAAGCAAGTAAGTTATTAGTTGGAGGAAATATGAGTTGATTTGATATGTGCAAGATAATTGTTTGGGATCTAACTCTAGATAATACACTTCTAATGTTTAAGTGAGTCTCTCGAATTCACTTAATTATTAGTTCAAACGTTCGGCAAAAACTCTTCTCCCAATTAAGTCTTAACCTCACGAGATAAACCAATTTAAGCACGTGAAGATATGCAAGAATGCGTAGTGGATTAGTATTTAGAAAAATTTCTTTCAATTATTCTCCTAACCAGGTTTAATCAGTGATTCAACTAGCCTCTTTCGATTACTAAGAAGAACTAATGAACTCAACCAACAATATAATGCAAAGATATCACAAGTTATGCCTCTCTCGTTTACATGAACAAGTGAATATAAATGCAACAGTTAAATCATCCAAAAATGCTTCAATACATAAAACTAGAGTTATAATCCACAAACAATCATCAATATACCAAATCTATCAAAACTTTAAGATAACTAATCCATAGATATGGAGCAATTTGTCACAAATAAAATTAAAGTATAGGAAAGCATAAATCCAATCCAAACTCGTGTCTTGAGTGAGGAAGGAATGATGAAATCATTGTGCTCGTATTCTTCCAACTCCTCCTTAGTCTCATTAGGTCGAATATGTGTCAAAAATCCAGAAAATAATATTTTTTATGTATTTATACCAAGTAATCAGTGATTCAATCAACAATATTATTCTAATGAACTCAACCAACAATATAATGCAAAGATATCACAAGTTATGCCTCTCTCGTTTACATGAACAAGTGAATATAAATACAACAGTTAAATCATCCAAAAATGCTTCAATACATAAAACTAGAGTTATAATCCACAAACAATCATCAATACACCAAATCCATCAAAACTTTAAGATAACTAATCCATAGATATGGAGCAATTTATCACAAATAAAATTAAAGTATAGGAAAGCATAAATCCAATCCAAACTCGTGTCTTGAGTGAGGAAGAAATGATGAAATTATTGTGCTCGTATTCTTCCAACTCCTCCTTAGTCTCATTAGGTCGAATATGTGTCAAAAATCCAGAAAATAATATTTTTTATGTATTTATACCAAGTAGGGCCAGACCCAAACGAAATCACCTTTTCCTAGCTGAAATAGGATATTTACTATGTAAAACTTGCACAGGCACGCCGCATGGGGCGACGCGCCATGCAAGGCATTAGTGGGGAAATCTAGAGAGCTCAACAATTCAATAGGCAGCAAAAATATACTGATGCATCGCACTATGCCTCGCACTCTACATCGCACTAGTGCAAATTTCTCAGAGTACGACTCAAATCTTGCGTTTTGAGTTTTGACGTCCAAACTTGGTCCTTGACCCCCGAACATGATCCCGACTTAATTTCTTGGGCTTTTACTCCAGACTTCAAAGCTCCAAATCGCTCGAATTCATTCCATAACATCTACATAGCTCGAAATCACTCTTACAAGACATAAAACACACAATAAGTGCAAAACTCTATCAATTAAAGCTCAAATACAAGTAAAGTACAATTAATTAGAGTGCAATAAACGACTAAAATACGAGATTATAGCCTACCATAGAAAATGAACGAGCATCTTCTAAGGTTTATTCACCAGACTGATTTATAATCACAGAATTGGCTCGAAGTCATTGCTTCTACGCTTCAATAAATGACAAAAAGCAACAAAAAATAGAGATAGAGATGTTGGGTTTAAGCTTGTTTAGCTTAAAATAAAGAGTGAATGAGAAATGGAGAGAAAATAAAATATTTGAATTTTCCTCCTTGACAAAGGGACATTGTTCCATATTGGAGGAAGAAAAGACTTTTAATGGGTATATATACAATTGCTCTTCTTCTACCTCTTAAAAAGTTAATAAGAAGGCGAGCTGATTAATCTACTGAACCCGAACAGGATTCGTGCGCGACCTGATTCAGTTTTCCCTCTCGTTTTTAAGTGATTGTTCTGAAGGGTTGTGAACTTTCAGAAACAATACTTCCATTGGCTATAAATTCGTTTGACTCGTCAGATTTTTCCTTACGAATTTTCTGAACTTCAAGACTTCTTCTACACAAATCTATTTTAGTGTGATGTTTGCTGACACCGTGGTTTTTGGTACCAATACATCGGCGAGTTAAATCGTTCTATCCTGAGAGGATAATACTCCAGCATCTCGGATATTTGAGGCAAATAATTTTCTTAAGGACACACTGCGCATTCAGTGGGCTCGATTTATTTCGAAATTATTTTTTCAAATATTATTTCGACATTCTGTTCCTGTTAATTTTCTGTTTTTGTTTTCTGTTTTCGAAAGATTATTGTTTCGTTAGTTATTATAGTAATACAGATCGAATAACAGGAGATTCATGGATAACAAGATAAACATCATCATCTCTGTAGAAATGAATTATGTGATAATATAACTAGAGATACCGTGTTTCTCATAATTATAGAACTTTAATATATAGTATTAGAGGAGACAAAAATCGTGAGTTTGATCATAAATGAAATGAAAGTTAATAATTAGAGCAAATATGACTTTTCCCAGTTCGGTGCTCCAAATTAGTGTCTCCATAATGGCAGCTTCTTCCATATATGGCGTCCTCAAATTCATAATACCATGTGAGTTGAGGGGCCATACTTTGTATATATGATTAAGTGTTTGAATATTATAGGAATAATTGTCATGGGAATCTCTATGAGGAAACGGCTATGCTTTTTCCTTTCATTGATTTATTATTAGTACTTATTATTAATTAATGTAAATTTTCCAACAACTTGAAGTTAAAAATTCAAAAACATGGTTGTAAGTAGTGTTTGAGCTTGAAATTCGAGGAGTGAACCTAGGTTCATAATTTAAGTGAATATAGCAAATTTCTCTTCTGTCGTTCTAACATTAAAAAAAAATAAAAAAACAATTTCTCAAACTTTTGAAGAGGAAAATAAATAAAATGTCGATACTGTCTCTGGTTTTACGTGTGCACGTGCTATAAATAATCATTTTTCCATAATGGGAAAAGAGAGGCCCCCTTTTTTATTCCTACCAATCTGAGAAACTAATAAATTCATATCCGTATGGTCAGCTTAAAAATAAAAACAGCACAAGTCAAATTTTACAGTAATGCCAATTTTAAATTTGGAACTTTATTTGAAAATTTAGTGAAAGGAAAAACATAGACACGGTTAGGCTTGCTTTTGTTATGTTAGCTTCACTGGAATAATTTATTCTGTAAGTGAAAATATATATTAAAAAAATGTAATTTCCAAGTAAATCAATCACTCATGTTTGGCAAGTAGTAGTTAAGATATTCTTCTTGTTTCAAATTGTTGGTCACTTTTTTTGTATAGTAGCTAAGAGAGTTATTATTGACGAATAATTTTTTGAATTAATTTTTTTATATTTAGATGGAATAAACTTTAGAGAGTTAGTTTCCAATAAGGTATAAGAGAAGGAAAAATACAGTTTGAAACGACAAACTGAAATCTTTCACATTAGGATATCGATTATAGTAAGAAATTTAATGAATAAAAATAAAAATATCATACATGAACTTGTAACTCTTTTATTTTTTGATGCATAATGTAAGAGATTGTGTTGTTTTGATGGAATAAATATTTTTTTTTGCATATTAGCAAAATTTTATGAAAGTGATATTCTCTAAAGTACGATTTAAAAAAAGTCTCTAAAGTACAACAAAACGTTAAAAGATTTACGTCGTTATGCGTTTTTTGGTCTCACAGTGAATTTGAAAGCTGGCTTTTTTGAAAAATAAAGCTGGCCTCTTCAAGGATACAACTATTTAAAAATATAAAAGAAAACTAATAAATAAAATATGTGAAAAAAATCACCGAACGAGTTGATCAATCCAAGTTGGAGACTTGGAAACAAGAATACCGTACAGCACAAAACAGAGTTATAGTATGTTTGGCAACAACTTTTCCAAGTTCAAATTTAAAATAAGTATTTTTTTTTTAAATTTGAAATGTTTGGTCAAATTTTTTTTAAAAAAAAAAAAATACTTTTGAGTAGAGGCAGAAATAATTTTGGAGAAGGAATTTTTTTTTTCTCAAGTATTTTTGATGAAAAATATATTTAGAAGTGCTTTTAAAAGTCTGGTCAAACATTAATTGTTGCTTAGAAGTAGTTTTTAAATTAATTAGCCAAATACAAACTATTGCTCGCCAAAATTACTTTTGAAAATAAATAAATATATATTTTCAAAATAACCAGCTTGGCCAAACGTGATATTAAAAATGAAAACACTAAAATTACAAATCAACCCCTTCAAAAAAACTCATTTTGTAATTATTCTGTCACACAAAAACATTTTCTTCCATTTTCTCTTCTTCTCTGTCTTTCTGATTCTGCAGACAAACATCACCGAATAACAAATAAAAAACCCCCCCAAAAAATTACATAAAAAAAATCCTCCTGAAAATAGCAACCCTAGTTCATTGTCCTTCCATTTCTACTTCAATGGAGTCACTTTCACGGCCTTTACACAGAAGAAAGCTTTCGAGTGCTAATGGCTATTCATTTTCAGCTAAACAACATCCGTACGACGACGTTTTTGCACAGCAAAAGTTCGGAGCTCCGGTTTTTTCTTCCGGAGCTCCAGATTACTCTGAGATTTTCGGAGGTTCTCGTGGTTCGTCGATTCCGGTACTTGATCTTTCTGGTCTAGATGATGGTAAGGTTTCCGATGATTGTCGAAGCTCCTCCTCAAAACTTGATTATTCCAACATTTTTGGTGGTTTTTGTGAAGAAGATATTGCTGTGCCTTATGATGAGTTATTTTCTGGTGCTAAACGTGGTAAACGTTCTTCTGGTAAAACTCGGTGAGTTCATTTCCATTTTTTCCCCTTACTTTTTACGTTTTACTCTTTTTGTTTCGAGAATGAAGACGATTTTTCTTAGTGTTGGAGGCGATTTGATGTGTCGAGGTGTACAGTTAATTTTGTGAATGTTACTCTTTTTTTGTGTTGTTGAAATGCGGAAAAGAAAATAATAGAAAAAAATATGAAAAGGAAAAAGCAAAGGCTCAATGATTTCAAATTATATGGCGCTGTTTCATCTCTGTTCCTAATTTCTGTCTTTTTGCTTCAGTTTGTATATTTTTAATATGCTTAACACGAGTCCTTTTTCTGTTTTTCTATTTGGTCTATTGGGTATATGGATTTTGCTACTATCAATGTTACTTTAGGTGATAAATATATGATGTTTGTTAGCTGGAAAATGAGTCTTCTTTATAAGAACAGATATCTGCTGAAGCATTCATATATTTTTGGTATGAAATATTCATAAGCAAACCTTTTTAGTGAAAATAGAATCTACAGTTAGTACCTGATAGGTTAGTATGAAAAGAATGTAAGGATGACCTTTTTTCAGTAAAGTCTGCATATAACTTGTTGTCTCAAAGTAGACAACACGAACAAGAATGGCCATTGAAACTGATATGGAGAAAGGAAGCACCTTTATACAAAGAAGATGCATGACTATCAACAGATGTGTAAACTATGAAGAAGATTATGAAGATGCGAAACAATTATTCATCCACTGCAGAAACACAAATCAGATTTGGTACACATTCTTGAATTTGCTTGAAGTTAAATGGTGCATGCCAGAATCTCCTGAAGACCTACTACTTCGTTGGAGTAGAAGAGGACTACAAAAAGGCGACACAAAGTTGAGCAGCTATATAGTGGACTGTGTGGAAGGAGAGAAATAAAAGATACTTTGAAGGCAAAAAGGAAAATATTTGTACCTTAAAACATAAATGTAGCTCTCTTAGCCTTTGATGCAAAATTGAAAATGCACAAGAAGTAGATAGGATGGAAAATTTCCCCAGTTCTCATGTAGCTAGTTTGCTAAGATGCATTTTGTTGGGGTTGTACTACTTTTCATTGCACTTTCTGGGCACTATTCTTTAATAAAATTTTCAACAAAAAAAGAATCTACACAATTCTCATTTGTTGCTTATTCTGAAATGTGCCTGTCTGTAGGTTATTTTGTAGCATGACAGCTGATGTCCTTTTGTTATTTTAATTGGTTGAGTTACGTGTTTTACAGAATGTTAGCCATGCTCACTCGTCTTCTTAGAGGAAGGTTTTAGACCAAATTCATCCTGATTTGATATTTATTCACATGTCTATAGCCTTTCTAAGCATACACACTTAGTGATGCTATGTGCTCTGAAAGTTATGGACATTTACTATGTGGCTATGCCATTACTTGGTGTTTTCCACAAGTGAGAAAAGATAGTCTTTCATCTAACTAGCAATTCCCGTGATTGCTTACATTTTCTGTAGCATTTCCCAAATTTTCTCACAGTTTCTTTAAAAGACCACATGTGTATTGGTTGCTTTTGGTACAACATGAGTTATGATACTTCCCTTAATTTCCTGTATTTGTGGCGTGTAGGACTGCTTCTGAAGGATCAGATCAATTTAGTCCAAGTGGAAAGCATAAAGAGTCCTCATGTGAAGCGACTAATCAATCTATTGATGGGCCAAAGCACTTCAACCTATCTTATCATAAGACCGGCCAAAGAGGCAAAGATGGTCCAAATGGGATGACGCAGGTAGCTCAACTGCATGCTGTCCCTGGTTTTACGTATTTTATAGATGAAAGTTCTCATTTACCAAAGACTGAAGCCTTTCAGCGAGCACCCTTTGTAAAAAGTGATGTACAGTGCAACAGGAGTTTTAGTGGGGAAATATTTAAAGAAGGACGTGATAGGGTGGGGGAGTTGCATGTCCCAAAGATACAACGTTCAGATGAAGTACCTCGCAACAGGAGTTTTAGTGGGGAAATATTTAAAGGAGGGCGTGATAGGATGGGGGATTTGCATGTCCCAAAGGCACAAAGTTCAGATGAAGTACGTCGCAATAGGAGCTTTAGTGGGGAAATAGGTAAAGAGGGGCATGCTAGGACTGGGGATTTGCATGTCCCCAAGAAACAAAGTTCAGATGGACATCGCAACAGGCGCTTAAGTGGGGAAATATTTAAAGAAGGCTGGGATAAGAATGCGGACTTGCATGTCCCCAAGAAACAAAGTTCAGGTGAAGCACATCACGACGGGAACTTTAGTGGGGAATTATTTAATGGGCGTGATAGAAAGGAGAATTTGCATATCCCCAAGAAACAAAGTTCAGATGGCGTAGTGAAGGTTACAAGTGGATCTAGCTGGGATGCGTTCCATTTTAATGATAAGTTTTATAGTGCACATGATGAATTTGAGAGGAGGTCAAGTTCCACTGAAGGGGCATCAACTTCAAGCCCCATGGCTAACGACATCAAGGGTCAGCCTAATCAATCAAAAATTTCAGGTCCTGATCCCAAATATGTAGCATCTGGAAGGGGTATTCATCCCACCAATACTTCACCTACTTCTTCTGATGAGGAACTTGATGCAAATTCAGCAGCTGCTGTTTCTGCTGCCACATTGAAAAAAGCCATAGAGAAGGCTCAAGAAAGTATTAGACTAGCAAAAGAGTTAATGGAGAGAAAAAAAGAAGGTGTTCCAGCTTCTCTGAAACGAAGGTCTAAAGGTAGCTTAAAATCTAAAGATAATAGGGTTGAGTGCAACACAAGAAGTAACAGGGAAAATACTATGGAATTGCATAGAAAAATAGGTATTGGATTGCCACCATTCACTGAGGTGTGCAGGGGAATCCCATCAAGTAATGGTGATTTTGCTTCATTCTTCAATCTTAAAGAACAGCAATGGGTTGCTGGAACGGTTAAGCAGAATACCCAGACTGAAAATGCTGAAGCATCTCAAGGAGATGTAGCAGGAACTTGGTTTCCGGAAGTGGTAAGCAGTAGAAAAGAGAATATAGAAACCATGGCATCTGAGCTTGGTGAAGGACCTGATTACGTCAAACCAATGGGGGAAATACTAAACGTTCTTGGGAAGGCAGAAGCTCCAGAGCAATTCAAGGATACTTCTAATTCAGCTTTGATGCATGATTCTGAAGAATATGTAAATTCAGAAGTCATCAATGGCTTTTCTAAGGGGAACGGAAATTGTTCTGCTGAGTTGAAGAAGTCTGAATACATGAAGAACAATCTAGAGTCAATATTTCATGAGATGTGGAGTTTCAAGAACTTGCAGAACTCTCAGGAGCCACTTACTGAGGAAAAAGTTGGGTTCCAAGAAACTGAGAATGATAATCTACATAACAACAGAGAGACACCTCCAGAAAACGAGACAGTGAAGCATGAAGACTTGGAATGCAGAATAGTGCCTAATAAGTTAGAAAATGTTTATGAGGTGGAAGAAAACAAAAGCAGATTGAGGAGGAGCTCCAATGAAGAAGAAACTGAGATTATGCATAAGGAAGCCTTCCTATGGGTAGAAAATGATGAGAAGCCCCAACATGACTGCGGGAGAGTAGGCATTGAGAGTAGACCAGAAGATTTTCAACGTGGCCAACACGCTGAGAAGTGGTCATATGGGGTTCATGAGCTTGAGCCGAGTGACAAGAAAACCCCTTACTGTCATGAAGTGGAAGAAAGTGAGAGAAAACGAGAAGGATCTGAGATGGAAGGACTTCAGAAGATATCTGTAGAGCCTTGTCAGTATGAAGCAACTGAAGAAATAGAGAACCGAGCAGCTAAATTCACAGAGAGTAAAAAGACTGAAGCAAGTCAGGAGGCTGAAGAAGCTGATAGTAGGCTGGGAGCATCTGATAAGAGTGAGGATGATCAGGAGACAAGTGTGGCTCCAGGTGTTGCTGATAAACAAAATTCAAGGAGTGCTGTTAATGAGCCTGATCTCAATGGCAGTCCTTGTTCAAGTGAGATACAAGAAGCTTGTGAAAATCAACTAGAGAATAATGATGTTGAAATAAGTCAGCAGGCAGTTAATTTTGAAAGGGTACATGGAATTTCTGAAGCCATCTATGAGCGTGAGTGTCAGAAGGATGGAGTAACTGACGAATCATCCAATTCTTGGGAAAAGGAGATATTGGAAACTGCTAGTGGTCTCCAAAATTCTAGTGAAGAGGATACCTCTGAGGGCATAGTGCAAGACACTTATGCGGCCTCATCTGAGGATGTCAAGGAAGTGAATTGTGGTTCCACTTGCATGAACGGTGCGGACAATCTTCCCAGTGAACGAGTGATTTTTGAGACAGAGAGCTTCCGCAATGTGATTCAGGAGAATGTCAGTGATACTGAATCACATTTTGTACCTGAGGTCCACGCTTCTGAAGAATCAGAGAATACCACTTTTACTGACATAAACCTTGAGCATAAATGCATGGACGAGACAGGTAGGGACCCAGAATTATACTCAAATCTAGATGAGGGGGATGGCTTGTGTGTCCCTGGACATGTAGGAAATGAGGAATCAATCAAGGGGGATGGTATTGCTGCTGACCAGGTCGAGATAAACAAAGATATTGAAGCAGCTCTGGGAGAACACAAGTCTGTTGAGAACTCAGAAGAACTAGAATGTTCTTCCTCAGCTTGTGACTGCAAAGACAATGAACCACTGGACAATGATGAAAAGATAAAAGCCGAAATGCACGAGGAAGAGAGCAATCAAAAAACTGTTGTAGAAGAGGAGACCAAAGAGTCTTCGCAAAAAGAAGCGGAGGATAAAAATAATAGTAAAAGAACCCAGGTAGACGAGAGACAAAAAGAAAGGGAAAAAGACAGAATAGCTGTGGAAAGAGCAATTCGTGAGGCTCGTGAGAGGGCATTTGCTGAAGCCCGAGAAAGGGCTGAACGAGCTGCTGTGGAGAGAGCAACTGCTGAAGTTCGACAAAGAGTAATGGCTGAGGCACGAGATAAGCGTGAGAAGGCTTCTGCAAGTAGCAAGGTATCAACGGACAAAGCTTCCATTGAAGCCAAGCTTAAAGCAGAGCGAGCTGCTGTGGAGAGAGCAACTGCAGAAGCCCGTGAACGTGCTTTGGAAAAAGCTTTATCACTAAAGGGCACAGCTGAATTAAGGTCTCAAGCAGATAGACACGGTGTTGAACGATTTGCTACTGTGACCCGAGAGAACGGGTTGAAGCATAGCCTTTCCTCTTCTGTGAGTATCATTCTCAATTTTTGTCTTTCTCTAGTGTATACTTTGTGGAATACAGAAGGATGACGTACTGAATCAATGCAGGATTTGGACAATTTTGATGGAAGTAATAGTGAATCAGCTCAAAGACGCAAAGCAAGGTTGGAGAGGCACCAGAGGATAATGGAAAGAGCAGTATGTGTATCTTAACTCTATTATTTGGACACTGGCTCCTGGACTTTGTCCAAGCATATTCACTTTTATGTTTCTACTGGTCTTTTCAGGCAAATGCCCTTGCGGAGAAGAATAAGCGTGATCTTCTGGCTCAGAAAGAGCAAACTGAGAGAAATGTAAATTTTCTTGATATGAATTGTGTGCTTATGGAGTTCATGATGCGCACATGTTAGTTATGCTTGCTTATATGTATATTTTAATTTCAGAGATTAGCTGAAGCTCTTGACGCTGATATTAAAAGATGGGCCAGCGGGAAGGAAGGGAACCTACGTGCACTGCTTTCTACTCTGCAATATGTATGTATCCGATTTAATACTTGCCCAAGTATTTTTTTTCGCTTCTCCTTTGTTATGAACATTGGGTAGAAAGGGAAGTTGCAAGGCTGGAGTGTTCTGAAATATCTTAAGATACTACCTTAAAAAGTCTCATCAGAACATGTTTATTACTTAATGTGGAAGAAACTAAAAATTGGAGTGATTTTTAAATTACATGGGCAATTGCAGTGACCAGATTTTAGAATATGTGAATGAGTCCCTTCTAAGCGTTCATTGCACTGATCTTGATTTAATTTTGTCCTGTTCAATATATAGTTTCCATTGTCACTAGATACTTGNATTGCACTGATCTTCATTTAATTTCTGTCCTGTTCAAAATATAGTTTCCATTGTCACTAGATGCTCATTGTTTTTTGCAAATGCAGATCCTTGGATCCGATAGTGGTTGGCAACCCATCTCGCTGACTGAAATTATTACAACTGCTGCGGTGAAGAAGGCTTACAGGAAAGCAACTCTTTATGTTCACCCTGATAAGTTGCAGCAAAGAGGAGCGAGTATTCAGCAAAAATACATCTGTGAAAAGGTTTTTGATCTTCTCAAGGTAACTAATAAGTTTCTTTAGCTGCATGTGTCTGTTTGATTGCGCTGTCACATACTTATGACTTGACGCAATGCATGAATCAGTCTCTTTTTTCTGTTTCTATTTTATGGACTTGAATCTCATTATTTTCCTTTTTGTGAACCAAAGGCCGCATGGAACAGGTTCAACTCAGAAGAGAGGTGAACAGTACCAGTGGAAATTCTGTGGTATGAGCAGGTGCTCCGTGCTGTCCTAATATTGGCAATCAACTTTTCAAGATGGAAGATGAGGAATGAATTAAGGGTGCCTTAATTTTGTCTTGTATATACATTGAACTATCGGCAATCTAATTAAAAGACAATTGAACAATAGCTCCTCAGTTTGGAAACTCAGGCTGAAATGATTAATTTACACAATGTGCAAATGCAAGGTAAATTAGGTGTAAAGAGGTGATTGTCCTAAGTTCGGGTACGAAGGGTTCAGCTGAAATAGTATTTTTTTTACTGCAAGATGCCACAGGATTGTATAAGATATCTCTTGAGAGATCTTTTTAAGCTGTTGTGATCAACTAGTTGCGATTGTAACTTATCCTAATCCCTTAGGGTTCCTATTCTTTGTCGAGATATTTCTGTATATAAACATCCAAATAACATGTCGAAGAAGGCATCTGATATGAGAATAAGATAATCACTTGACTTAAGAATTTAGAACCTTGAGTTATATGAACAGACATAGCCACGAAGTTCTTTTTGACGCTCCAAGCAAAACACGGTCTAGGAAAAATATAAGTCTCGCTATTTGGTCAAACAATGCAAATTACAAGCCCATTACATGAAGCATAATCGCATTTTGTGCATGCATACGATTTTCTGCTTGGGGGAATACAATTGAGTTTGGCGCTTCAATTACTCCATCAGTGACTTCCACTCCCCTTTCTGCAGGCAAACAGTGCATGACATAAGCGTTCCGTCCAGCTAATTTCATGATTTCTTCGTTCACCTGTCAACAACTAATAAGACGTCAGAGAAACACATGCATTCATGCTTCAGTGTGTAAATGCAAGTTGTTCAATTCGCAGGATATAAACTTAAGGAACTGATGTTATCATTTGATAGTGATTGTTCCAACTTGTCATTTAATATAGTAAGGGTACCTTAATCACTTCACAAACATTAATAGGATGCTTCAAAAACTAGCCAAAACTACAGAACTTGTAAATATTCAAGTACCAGAGTGATGCTTTACGGATTATCTTGTTATTACACAACAGTCACTAGTAAACCCAAGTTATTTCACTAGAACTGTTGCAACCTTGGTTTAAGATACCACGACAGTTAAGATTCAGGGTTGTTCCATCCACCAATACAAATGATCGTAAACACGGGTTGACGTGCAAACAGTGTCCAGGTAATGAGTATTCTCCCACTAAAGTCCCACAAAATAGATTGTCCACACTGTTCATTTTCTTAGAAATCACAAGATGTGTTATCCACTTAACTTGCATTCATTCCTGTTTAAGAAGCGTAAGTTTGTGTTTCAAACGCCTACATCTCGTCAGATCCAAAAAGTTGAAAGATATTTAAAAAATGACAATTTTATGAGCCGTTGTAGGAGCAACCAGCCACAATAGCCTAGTTCCACAGCAAGGGACATTTCTGGGCTAAGCCTCCTATACTACTGGTTTTGTCTGCACTTCTGGCAAGCAATTTTATGTAAAATCAAAGATGTTTCTTGGTGACATGCACAAGTTGAACAGACTATAGCTATGCAATTTATAACTCCTACCTGGAATCCGTGAAACACCTGATGGCGCTGTGCAGCTTCTTCCTTTTGTCCCATGCTAGCCCAGACATCTGAGTACACGACATCAGCTCCTCTAACAGCTTCCTTTGGATCATTAGTTATCTCGATTTTGCTTACTCCAGCCTGTTGTGCTCTCTTAGCTGTTTCCTCATCAGGTTCAAAACCTTTTGGACAGGCACAAACAAAGTGGAAAGGAATTACTGAAGCGAGCAGCAACCAAGAATGCACTATGTTATTTCCATCTCCAATATAGACAACCTGAAATTTGCAGCTAACATTAAATTATAAAAATCATATCATCAGAACCAGAAACTAGGAGATCATCCAAATAATCGCCAGAAAAAGCTAAACCTTAATTCCTTCCAGCTGACCAACATGTTCAATTATTGTAAGGGCATCGGCCATAATTTGGCAAGGATGGTTGTAGTCTGTCAGGCCGTTAATCACTGGTACAGTTGCATATTTAGCAAGATCTAGAATGTCCTGTACCAGCAACAAAAAAAAAACATAGATAAAATTTTTATTTTGCAGTTGGTATGAAAGCAACGGTCTTGGAAATGTCCAACCCTTGCATATCAATTACTCAGTTCAACATCTCAACATGTAAAAACCCTGAAGAACATTTAGGCCTCAATGATCATATGCGCAAAATTGACTTGCAGGGGAAGGCAACATCATTAAACTGTTATTTGTCTGTACGATATTAAGTACAAGATGGATCGAGAATTCAGATCCAATGGAAATAGATCAAGAAACTTTTGTTTCAAATAATATTTAGAAGTTGCAACCAAATAGATAGAAGGGACAATGTTGCTAAGAGACGCTTTAACAGAGGACACAGAAGCATTGACTGGACAACTACAACAAATAAGAGTGTTAGCAGTGCTTCATATGCGCCATGATAGGGTACTGAAGTGCACCAGCAAGAAGCCAAAACAGGAAACTCACCATGCACCTGGAAGTCAAAACAGAAAACTCACCAACATACCTGATGGGCAAAAACTCGAGCCATAATGATATCATTGTAGCGAGACAGAACACGAGCAATATCACGAGTTTCTTCTCGCTTACCCATCTGTATGTCATTTGGTCCCAAGTATATAGCGTGGCCACCAAGCAAGTAAAACCCTGACTCAAAGGAAACCCTTGTCCTCATTGATGGTTTAGCAAATATCATCGCCATTGTTTTACCTTTAAATGGGAGATATGTCCTGTCTCCTGATTTTATCAGTGCTTTGACCTCTTTGGCTCGATCCAAGATGTTTAAAATAGTTAATTTGTTGAAATCGCTGATGTGCAGAAAGTCCTTCTGAGTGGCATTTGCTGTGATAGAAAATAAGACGTATCAGAAAAATCCTCTTAAGTAGTAACCCGCATCTACAAAAGGATGTAACCTAGACATAATTGGAGGGGCATGTTCTCACTTCTCCAGCCAATTTTATAACAAAATATGGTTTGATCCATGCATTGTCAAACATTCTCCTTTTAACATTCTCATCAAGTTTCATGTTTTGAAAAACTAGAAGACACACTATTATTGTTCTCATGGGTTCAAAAAACTACTTATGAAAGTAGCTTGTGATGAGTGGGTTAGGCGCATGTCACGAGGGGCGCACACATTATCCACTGAGTTCAAAACCGTGCGACACTGGCCCTCAGGTATTTCTCTTTTATCCAAAAAAAAGTAGTATTATTGTTCTCTAACTTGTTTTTGATATATCAGGAACATTTCATAGAAATAACACCAAGATGACGTAAAAATATATACACTAAGGATATGTATTTCAACTAGTACTTTCACTTCTTAGGTCTTCTCAACTATCTATACAACAAGGTCTTTACAGTTTACACCACAAAAAAAAAGTTTTTGATTCTCTAACTTTGTAGGTTGTAGGCTATAAACAATCCTTTTTTGCTCTTAAACCTCAAGATTTTTTACATGATACCAAAGCTTTTGAGAATACTAGTAACTCAGCAGGCAATTAAAAAGACCAGGAAGCATGCATAGAACTCTAGGTAAAAAAAGAAGAAGAAACGGTTAAAGCTCAAGTATGGCCACCACTTTAAACAGCACATGCATAGATAAAAACAACATTCTCAAGACTATATAGAAACGTAATACAAGATAAAGGTAGTCATTAGTAAATGCAGCAGAACTTAACAAATTTCTAGGTTTTACCACACATTATAGATTTAAACTTTTGCACAATCCAAATGCCATATCAACATTAAACAATGGAAAAGGAAAGTTCGAGAGAGAAAAAGGAGCGAACCATTTCCATTGGCGGACGAAGAAGGAGAGGTGGTCTGGCATGAGATGCGTCGACGAATGGCCGGAAATGTGACCGGAGAAGGCACAAATACGCCGGAAGAGCGCGATGACTGAATGCCGGAGGAAGAAAGAGAGGAGAATGACGGCGCGTCGGATGATCGGAGGGAGGATAAGTGAGAGTAAATGGCGGCCATTGTTAAAAGTGGTTCTGATAGTAAAGCTCAGGTGGATTTGTTTTTCGTTGGGGGAAAGTTAAATCTTTTTTTAAGATTTATAAACCCTACTCAACCATAGTTTTCGCCTACATCTGTCAGCTTTAATTGTTTCCATTTAACTGGAGAAATTAGAATCAATTCTTTTTTCCCTTTTCCCTTTTTCTTTTTTCTTTTTCTTTTTCTTTTTTGAAGTTGTAGTGTTGTACTCCATGTTAGAACGATTGTAATCCTACACCCAAAAGTTGTGTGATACTAATTACAAGAATTATGTTGCAAAGAATCATGAGTGAAGTTCAAAAATTCAGCAAAGGCAAAAAAATAAAAGTAATTTCTTAAACTTGGCATACACTCCGTGAAATAATCAAAGTAAATACAAATTGGAACGCGTTGGTAAAAATCTAATCTTAAACTTTAGTATGTGAGATTTATTAGTTTGCCGGTTCGCCCAAAAATATACCAATTCGCAAATGTGGATAATAAAAGAGTTTTGATAGTTGATTCTAAACTATGTAGTACCGAAACTTAATTAATTAACTGAATGATTGACAAATGATGCTTTTTTCCTTCTTTTTCTCTAGATATTTCACAAAAAAATGGAAATCACAATGATAACTTTAATTGATTTTGTGACAATCTTCTTGTTGACTCGCAAATATTAGTGCAGTCGGAGAACATTTCAATGTCACACTCAAAACTAGTCCGTCAATAATCGAATGACTAAAAGAAAAGGTGGTGGCAATTTAAGCAAATTGAGAATTATTTGGCTAAGAAATTAGATGGACAACTATTTAGGTTAATTCTTCAAAACTAATATAAACCATCATTTACTGAGCCAAATCCTCCGAGAGTTGTTAACCATCTTGTGTCACAACAAGTCAAGGACTCGTAAAAATTGTATGGGACGCACTATTTGGTCGCCCTTTTTAACTTGTATCCGTTTTGTCTTTTTGTTTGCATCCATACCCGGCTTTTTGTTAAAAGCTTTTTAAAAAGATGATTTTACCCTTCCTTATTAAAAGATTACCTTCTCTCCAAGTATACGACATTGTTTCTTGTCTCTGTCTCTCTCTCATTCTTTGCGGTTTTGATTCTTCTCTGAAATCAAACGGTTTCGCCATTGCATTCTACTTGATTTTGCAACTGTTTCTTCTCCAACAAAATTAAATATAATCACAGGTACAATTTTAATGGTTGCTTTTGTATATTGCATTAATTGTATATGGGGTTTTAATTTACGATCAACTTTATGATTTAATTTCTAGTTTTTTTTGTTGTTGA